TATACTAGCGCACTCTAAATTCTTTTGTGTTTGTCACCTTATCCTTGCGCTTGATGCTTATTGCTTGTTTCCCCGGCATGCCTTCACTCGGTTCGTTGTTTACGCGCGTTTACTGTTCAGCTCTTTAGTTGGCAATGCGTACAATGCTCTACAACCTCACTCTTTGAGCCTGGAAATAGGCTGATAGTTGTAGGGAATACCTGACATCCGAAAACTTGGGTCCAGTTTCGACGGGTAGTGCCCTAGTTCCCTGTCGAGTGATGTTCTCCCTGGCACCATCCACCTTCGCTTTCTCCCTTGAAGATGCACGCTCTTGCCATGTCTTAACTGGGTTTGCTGTTAGCAAAGTTCAGGGATGTTAGCCCCCCTCCCCCTTCGTTTTACGGGAATCTGTAATATTGCAATATCTAATTCTTTCTTGTACCCTTTTTATTAATCTGGTTTTTCTGAGGTTTTTATTTGGTTCTCTCTTGTTCTTTTTGTAGATACCCGTCGGAGGTTCTCCAATCGCTATCCTGTTATTTTTTCTTCTCTTGGCGACTGACCAGCACCAAATAATTGTATAAATAAAATCATCGGATATTTCAATTAAAACGTGAAATGTTCAGAAAAAAAGAGTTGGCTGCAAACCAAGTCATAATAACATGACAGCTAACGATTAATAATTTTTTTATTTTGATGTTTCTAAAAGGTTGGACGATGTGCTCACATATTAAAGCAGGCTCAGCAACTCAGCGGAACTCCGACGCTTCTCGTCTACATCCATCAGTTAAATCGCTTTCTCTAGCACCCACCACGTCTGCAGTATTCCTTCGCAAATAGTAAATCAGAACTTGCAATCGCACGTACAAAGTATTGATGGTAAAAGTCTGAAGTCTCTATCTGTAGACGTTGATATACTAATGTATGGAAGTCCTTGACATAGGTTCCCATATAATTCATGGTCAAATAAGTTCTGTGGCAGCTGATATTGGAACATTGAGAAAACGTGGTCCTTCCTGAGTCGTGAACCACCAAGCGCATTCGGCATAATTTGATTTCAAGGGATCAACCGTGTTCCCACTTCATGGCAGTGACTTGCCACGGTGCTTATCATTGCAATAGTTACTAATTTTCTCTGTCAACTTGCTTCATCAATCCATCTTTTCCTATGAGACATACCAAAATGCCAACACTCAATCGTAACTACCAAAAGACCTAGAATGTGAAGACTTGAAAATCTCTTCAGCCTTAACAGCTTCCCCAGTCGGATACCCAGACAGACGAAGGACTCTCCTTTGTGTGGCCCTCCTCCTGCACACCTTTCAATTGGGATGCCATTCTCTAGGACAACAAAGCTACTCATTTCCTCTCGAACACACACACGCACCACACACACGGGTACACACATACACATACATATACGCACATGCATACACACTGAAAGACACATTTGTATGAAGTAGAATTGCTGCTCTGTATTATATGATACCGGCTGCTATGTTTCTAATAGGTCATAACGTAGACTTCCCATGTGTTTCTGCGAATGCGGGCATCTTCAGAAAGCTGATGACCCTGGGTTTCTCCGTTGGTAAGGTTGCGTATCTTGAGAACTGTGAATCGAAACGCATGACTGCTACCTCAACACCATAAAACCGACAGTATTCCTCGTTTCTGTGATCCCGATGCCTAAACACCATATTGCCGATTGCAACAAAGGATGAGTCAATCCGGAACAGCTCCAATATCACGTTATTAGAACATTACAGTGAAAGTGTTTCAAAATTTCTGTCCATTTGACTGATCTAATGATTCAGAGGAACTGATACTGTGCAATTTAACATTTCATACTTTATTTTCATTAGAAAAAAAAANNAAAAAAAAACATTCACAGAAAAATGGAATGAGGGATATTCGAACAGCCAATAATGAAATGTTTTCAAATCAGGAAGGAATCTATGTGGAAAATTATATGGAATACCGGCATATTCATGAGGTCACTTGATAAGTAATCCAGTTACAAAGTGGTTCAGAAGTTCGGGAGCAGGCTTAAATCCCTCATAAACAATCAAGACGGAAATCAAAGAAACAAGGAGTTGAACACTATACAAGGCAGCATCATGAGCAGAAGTGGATAGCCGTATCGCGTTTTCCAGAACACTTAGCAATCTAATAATGAGCTTTTTGGGATTGAACAAAATCTGGAAAATAGAAGTGAAGCAGATTCTAATCACTAACAAAATGTGGATGCTCGCTGGTTGATTGCCTTCACAGTCTTCGAGACAGGATGGGATCATGGCCCATTTTGAAGGGATCTCCCAGATGTCAGAGAAAGTCCTCTTATTGTTAGTGGTTCAGATGCCAATGGTTCAATTATTTTGCAATGGGTGTGTGCGGCAATTCACAGATGTTTCATAACCGTTTATTGCACCGTGAAATAGGTCCACAATCGATTATTGATCGTGCCTGTGAATTTCCGACGAGTCAGAGCCATTCAAGGTTTTCATGTGGACTGTCAGCCATCACCCTCTGAAGACTGCAAAGGCTGCGCATGTCGCGGAAGAATTAGTGGTTGTGATTCGCGCCGCGCCCGGATGATTCCACCTGAATTCTCCTCAACCCGTTAATTAGCCAGTTTCGCTATGTATTCAAGTCAAACACACAAGCATGGATTTCAGTATGTAGTTGTCTGTTACTCGCCAGTATTGTAAATATACAGTCGTTTGTTTGTAATACGAGACTTTGAGGGGTTATTTGTGTCTTCGCCTGGTTCTTCAGGGATTGGCGGGTGCATGGGAACGTTACCAGTTTGAACGGAAGCTACCTGGAAAGTTTCTTTAGCTTCGTCACGATCTTTTTGAACCCTGAAACTCATCGGATATCCGGAACCTACCTTCATCTTATGTATCGTCTGGGTCCATTTGTTGCGCATTTTAGCACGTTCCTCGAATTTCTCCTCTATCATTTTCCTCCTGTAAAAATGGAGATAATTCAAACCAATTTCTTAATTCTTTCGATTAGATGGAGAGAACAGTGTGGTCAGATATTCGGTTCTTCTAGAAACGATCCCAAACCAATAACTCCTTCAGGGAGAAAAGAGTAGAAAAATTGAGTGGAAGGCAAAGGCCGGTCCTCGGTCCATAAGCATCAACAAAATCCCCAAGTAGAGTCTCGGAGATAATGAAAACCGTTTCGTACTTGCATAAACTCTGAGTAGAGCATTTGACCACCCCCATTTGGCCATACTACTGAAATTTTGAATGTTATCCTTCCACTCAGTAATCACAGTTGGAACTCCTTGGAGCGATTACTGGTTTGGTAGGCATGGGTAGTTCTACCATTAGTGCCACCTGTATTGAAGTTTGTCATGGAAAAACGCTGCTAATCGCAGAAGTTCAAAGGCACAGTTCACGATAATTCTGAGGTACCCTTTTCACTCGAAAAGCGAAAGTATAGGTTGGGTTAGTTCTTATGGTAGTGAAGAGAACGAGAAAAATTCGCCGGTTTCAGGAAAATAAGGCTCCTCAAAAGTAGGAAAAAAAGAGGTTGGACGAGATTACCTGGCGGAAATAACATGGAAGGGGTATTCGGACGAGTTTTGGTTGTTGCAATTGCGCAAAGAGCTAACTTTATCAAGCCAGAACTGTACAGAACTGCCTTTCGCTGCCGCTATGGGTCATGACAAGTTGTCTGAACTTCCTACATGTGTTCCTTTTGATCGGTGCAGCCTCTACAATGCCGGTGAAACTCGTCCGAGAATGCACACGGGCCAATCTTTGAGTCTTCATAACTCCTTAATTAGGAAGTTTTCCGACCTAATAGTGCCAGATATAGTAGACACGGGGGCATCAAATTCATCCTGTGGGGGACCTTAGAAGCCATTTTTATCGTGAACTGTGCCTTTAAAGTGACTAAAGAGCTCTTCCACGTACTGGTGATGGCTCATGAATCGCAACAGAAATCGATCTCCACCGTTCATTGATTCGCCATACTGTTTCATTATGTCGTCGCCTATAATTATACGAATTCACAATTTGAAAATGGAACGGGTCCAAAAGAAAGTGGTAGATAGTGGTAGCCACTTGAAACAAACAAAACGGATAAAAATCACTTTCGAGCATTTCACCTTTCTTCACCTCCATATCGGTTAGAGCGCGTTCGACATCGCCCTTTGCCACTTGGTCTGACCCTTTCTTCTCATCACCTGCTAAACACCTTGATTTGTCTATGGCATTAGTTCAATCTGGGCAACGACTAACCACTGCTGAGGAGATTCATTTTGAAATCGTCATCGATTGACTGAACGACTTTTCCAAACAGAAGTTCCAGCTGCATTTGCACGACGTTAATTGCCATGGATACCACTGACAATCCAACAAGGATTAGCAGAAAATTCGCCACAGCTACACGATGACTCGAAACGACGTCTCCGAATCCTAAAGCCCATAAATTTAGCAATCTGGATGCAGAAAGAAATGGTTTTCGGCCTTGTCTTAAAATGGTATTTGGATGACTGAAAAGATGTGAGACCATTTGGCCCAACCCAACCATTTGGCTTCTTTCAGAAGCCTTTGTGACATCCTAGCCGATGATGAAAAGTAGGAGACTCTGTATGAGTTAGAAGGTGAGTTGATCCTACGAAGTCAGGCATGACGCCGACGCCTTCAGCTTTTGCGCTAATACCACCTTCGCAATAAGAACAAAGCAGACCATGAACTCGACTTAGGCCCTGATGTGAATCTGTACTGCTAACACGAGAAATCTTACCAATGGTTGTGAGTGAAATAAAGAAGAAATACACGGTGTCAAATAAGGACCATTGCTCGAGGTATGCGAAAACCACACAGCATATACCCATCCAGAACATGAGAACTGAAATGGAGCGCCGTTATGCAAATTACTTCTTAAACGGAAGTCGTGTAGTATTCTTCGATGTATGCCCGCGAAAAATAGCAAGAAAAACCTAAGATTTGACCTCTCACCTATAACAACCAGGTAGAGTGGTATGGGGTCATCTTCGTCGGGATCACCACAATGTGGTACATCTTTCGAAAGTGGCGAGTCGCAGATGATCTGAAACAGTTAACATACAATCACTGACATTTACGGGACTTTTTTGATGGCGAGACACTCTTCTCTTGGGGACGATACTTCCAAGATTGTTGGTGGTTGCTCTGACAATGAGCTGTATTTTTCTGGGTGGGCCTAGCGTTAGGCTAGTTCTTAAATACCCCACCTTGCTCTGACTTGGAAACTTTCAGAACCATGCGTTGTGTAGAAGTTTAGTCCTGTCTAAAAAGCCATCGAATCTACACTTGACTTCAGAGCCGTTTTGGACTTATTTCGTTGCTTTTTTATTTTTATATCGGTTGACTTTTGTCATTTTTTTGTGTGGCTACTGTGAACTCAATAGTACGCTGTGGTTAAACAAACCCTTTTTCTTATCAAACTATTGATAGGGCGGGGGTGGTGTAGTGGCAAGTGGCGCACTATCTCACACGCATGGTCATGGGTTCGAATCCCGGATCGATATCCGCCTAGGCCAACCAAACCTCCCATTCCTTCGGGGTCGCTTAATTGGTTTCAGACTGGTGTGGGAGGATGGAAGCACTAACTTGTACATTGGCTGGACATCGCAATTCATTGTTTAGGCCACATTACGCCACTCATTACAGTGAATACCCCCCAACTCATTACACCACTACTATTCTGAATGGAAGTCGAGTACGGGGGCGCATCCCTCAGACGGGATTGATTAAGCCAAAAACTTTATCCTTATCCTTCAGATTCATGAATCGATTGTACAAGGCTCATTACTGAATACACAAAACTGGATGGGTGTTGTGGATTCACAACCATATATATGTTTATAGTAGAACTAGCCTTTACAAGAATGATGCATAACATGCTAGGTCAACATATTAATCGTAGGCATGACTTGAAATGAGTATCTCTTGAGTTGAGACCAAGGCATGACCTGGCGGTATCATAAGTGTGCAATCAAGTAGGTAACTTAAGTTCTGCCGTTGGCGCGGTCCGCTCCTTCATCACCCGAGCTTGAGTATCGCCACGAGCACCCTAAGGTCCACTGGCGATACGGTATCTGAGGACCGCCTACATATTGTGTATATAAACCCCGTGAATGTATTATTATGGTCGATCTTTGTACTAGGCGACGTAATAAGCCTTTGTTACACGTCCTAAATACAACTTTCCATTGGTAATCCACCAAAAATGGTAAATGGTCAATCGAATTTGATTGAAGGGAACGCACGCCTCTTGAAAATTTGCCTCAAGCTTTTGTGTCTGGGATGAATTCTTTCAGGCTGTTAATTGTATGAAAAATAGTCATAAATTATCAGGGGCTGTGTAACATCGACGGGGTTCATTAAATTCTTTTTTCATTTAGTTGAGGTTCAAAACATGCCGAGTGCACATCATTTGCTTTTCAAGCGTCTGTTAACGGAGAAGTTTTCGGCGGGCGTCAATTGGAAACAATTTGTCTCCCAGGACTCCGAAATCCATTATATCTCGCGAAACTGCGAGAATTGTTCAGAGACAAGTGCATGGAAAATTTATTGGAAACCTCTATGCAATTTGTATGAGCTTAACTACTGCAGTTCAGAAGTTGTAAATATTGGGGTGCTCGAAAAAAAAACCTGGGTTTCTGAAGAGAAGATCCATTCAAGCGCCCGTTCGAGGATTTCGCAGAAGGTGAAACGCTTTCTAATTGATATGAAATACAGAAACATATTTAAATTTTTTTTTCATGGAAAAAGTGAGCAAATGGTGTGAAGTGTTTCCAAGAACCAGAATGTTTAAATGGGCCCCTACTTATAAAAGTTCTATGGCGCAATTGAGAAAGCTTCACAAAATCAGCCAGTAGCTTTGACCTAAAGCTAACTGAACAATTTGTCAAATCGCTTCACCGTCTGGTACGGCCTACGGACTACTTGACTCATTGTCAGTCCGTTCAAATGTGTCGACCGCGTACATTTTTCCGCTCTGATCTGTCGAACTCCCGTTCAATCGAGTCTTTGCTGCGCCTGTCTGACTGATGCCTCATCTAAGGAATTTTGTCTGCGTTCCAACCTTTCATTGCCAGGGACAGAGAAAAGTCCAAGTAATCACGTAATCGTATAATACGGCCGTTTAAAAAGAGCAGCCATTATTCAACTATAGAAAATTACCATTCTGCAACATCCTAACCCCATGAGTCGTATTCATCATAAAGTCTGACTAAATAACGAATCCTGGACTGCACTACTCCATGATCGTCTTACCTAACGGTACTTATTTACATGTAAAGTCCCTAGCCACTGGCTGGAGTTCATTCACGACAAAGAAGTATGTCAGTTTGTCTAGAAGAATAACCTAGAAGACTAAAACAGCAACCGTTTCTGACCTTTCCAAACCGTTCACTTCTCCTAGGATTGCATCTTTCATTGGTAACGTCGTCTCGGGTCAAGATACTAGTGGAACAAGTGATTATGCTGCTCCGGCGAGACCTTGAAACCACCAGCTGACGTGTAGTATGGGGCTGCTTGCCTCACCTGTTTGGGAGATTAATCGCTAGAGCTTGGAAAACTCGGCATGTCATTTTTCAAAAGCCACGGTTCTCAACACTTCACACCACCCACGTTCCAATTCCATCGATGGGTGCGTCATAACGCATGAAAGCTTCCGGATATAATTCTTACACTATTTTTAAGAAATTAAGTCAAAATTTGATTTCCGATAAGTTCATCTAAGGTAGATCGCCTCAATTCATGGGAGCAGTGGAAAAGAGGGATGAGTCGCGGCATAGTGCGGATCTGATGGAGTGTCGGAAACATCTCAGACCGCGTATATAGGCATAGAGTGGTAGATGTCAAAGCTCACGATTCTTTCAGTATGAACTGGCCATCCTCGTCGGGGTTGGGGCTCTGCTTTCTGCGCCACGTCAGTTCGTCAGTTCGCCACCATGTTGCTACTGTGTACATGCCCCTTTACCTACATAATGTGCGATGAATCTGAATCGCAGGGTTGGAGAATTATGGACAAAACTTAAGTCCCGTTTAAAATTTTGTCCACAAATCGCCAAACTTGTGAGGAATCAGATCCATCGCCCACCGAATAGAAGTCCCGTCCAAGTCTGTAGTTTCATCCATGAATCGCCAACCTTGTGACACTTTCGGGCAAAATAGCAGCAGCTAACAAGGTCAAAATCTAATTTCTTCCAGGTTTTTGGGAGAAATGCACAGTAAGGAACATAACTAGTTATGGACTTAGGTTGGAATGTAAATTATTATCAGTGGCTGTAAGTAGAGACGATCCCGTCAGTTAGTAATGTTTGGGTAACTTCCCCAATAAAACACAATTTTATTCAGTCGTGTAAAGTTATTGGCTCTAGGGTATGCTCCTGTTGCTACCTCGAAGCCGGTCAGAACTTCAGTGCTTTACCCTCAGTGGAAGGCTGCGGCCTATTAGCCGTCTCCTCATCCAGCTCCTGACTTAAACAGTTGGACCACCTAATTCTATCAGGACGATTCGACGGTAAAGGGAGGAGTTCAACTTCGAAATGAAATGAGAAATGAGTGGCCTATTTGAGCCGTCAGGACCATCACATTTAAGGAGCTTCAGTTAAATCCTAACTAAGAGTTCTGAGGAAGTGGCCTGCTAAAATCTCGAATAAACCAACCTCCTGCGATCCCTGACGTTTTTTGGTGCTGAAGAAGTCCTTAATCGGTTGAAGCAACGACGGAAACTTCTTTTTCCATATTTCTGTAAGCAGCATATGAAATAAGGGTTATGAATCATGTTGGAGAGCACTCACTGTTTGCCACGTTGAACATGATTGTGCCCCAGTCATTGAGGATCGTAACCACCATCGGTATGCCAAAAACGGCGTACACCATTGTGAACAAGCGACCCCAGAATGTTTCAGCAGCCAAGTCACCGTAACCTGTAAGTTGAACATGATTGTGCCCCAGTCATTGAGGATCGTAACCACCATCGGTATGCCAAAAACGGCGTACACCATTGTGAACAAGCGACCCCAGAATGTTTCAGCAGCCAAGTCACCGTAACCTGTAAAACGTTTGAAGAACTTCCTACGTCATTTACAAAGTTCGGAAATATTCGGGCGAAGGTTTTACAACTGGACGATTTTCAAAGTTTTTACGGAACCCCTAATTTCTTCTTAAATAAACTCAAACTTTCGAATTTTCCCGCTGAAATGACGTTTCGAGATCACCGTTTCCTCGGCCTTGCCTCTTCGCCACCACTTAATATTTAATTTTGAAGGCAAGTCTACTCTACACTCGTTTCCTCCAAACCAGAGCCTTCATTATGACTAAAACTCGTTTTTGTCCGTATATGGGTACGGCTGATTAGCATGGGCACAAAATCTACCCACGCTCAGCCGTCTCCTAATTCAGCTTTTCCTGAGTACGAGGAGAAAGGAAGTAAAGAACACAGGTAGGTTGCTTCAAATGCAAAGTTCACGGTAGGTCTGAAATATCTAGCCTAAGTGAAATAATGGAAGTTATAGAGCAGAATAGTGCAAAAAAAGGCGAAGAAAGCGAAGAAACTCGGCGGACTGTTAGAGATATGAAAAGAAGAATTCTTCAGGCGTTGATCAATCCCATCCTCAGTAATTTAATTCTCCCAGACAACTCATTTACCAATAATTCGACCCTAGAGAGTTGGTAGGCTTGACCGTCATAAGTGAATATCGATCCAGTATTGAAACCCGTGACCAGGCCCCTGTGATAGTGTGTCTTTTGTCACTACTCCACCTCCGCTAAACGATCCTCAAATGAAATCAGTGAGTAGGGAGTTAACTCTCGTGATTGGCATTAAAAGATTGTCTGAGGCAGGATAGATGGTCAGCATCTCAAGCCCTAACGTCAAAAATTGATGCTGTACTACTCGAACCAGCTCACTACTAAGTTTTTTCGTACTCTGTTCAGGAAGTTGAGGTCCAAAACGCCACACGAACTGATACAGAATTCTTAAAATTTTCTTTCAAAAGCTCTTCAGTTCGAAGCGCCCGAACACAAACTTTTCCTGGTCAATTGTCACTCGACCCTCACAAATTGTGATTGATGGTATTGTAACCTGCCACGTGAAGAGAACTTGTCCTCTCACACCCCTGACGATGTTTGCTTTCTGGTTTCACAGAGAATGATTGCGCTATCACATCTCTAACTGTGAACTGTTGACGGCATTCGGGCCTTCTCATGTATCATGGGAGTTCAACTGATTGTTGTGTAAAGTTTTTGCCTATTGTTCAGTAACTCAATTACAATTGCGAAGCAGTCAGGTGCCGAGAACTGCTGTTGTGACATAGTCCGGGGGAGTACAGAGATTTGGATTCGAATCCAGACAGATCAACCCTTTGCCCTTGATTCTTGGGTAAGTCCATCGAAAGCTCTGAATCAAGTGTGAAGGCAACCACCACCACTACGGACAAAGCATTCGTCAGCGAGACAGGAGATTTGTGCAGCTATATCCAGAAGTTATTAAGGTGCCTACCACCTTCATAATGCTTACGCATGACCATCTATGTACCAGCTATTTCGAGGAGCTATCCAAACATTGAGCACGAAGTGAGAAATAGCATTTTCCTTATTTTTCTGAACATCTGCTGCAGTGATAGCATGATTTTGTCCTTAAAATCGTATGGCTTACACACGGGATCGCACACCATTCCCTCTGGCATACATAGTGTTCCAACGCAGCTGCATACATGCCTACCACAACCGGGGGTAACACTACTTCTGAGGCCGATGACCTTATCAATCACGCATAGTAAATGAAACAAAAATTAACAATAAATATTACTGTGATAAGTACTATATATGCTCCACTATTGTTAATTTGACGCCACCTTAGCACTTACTTTTTTGCCTGTACATCCGCTGTNAACATTCAAGCCGTTCGAACGATACGTTCGAGCACATGTTTGTAAGTGAAGTATCGCCATGGGGGAGAAGGACATAACATACATCGGAGCGAGCAACGCCAAGGTAAAAAATTTCGATTTGTTTCTGAAAAGTTCAGGCAACAAATAAAATGAGTAAAGATGAGGAATGAGCAGGGTCAACTAATGGAGTGAAAGGAGCGGAAACCTCAAGTGAAAGATGCAACCTGGAAAAGCCAATAATTTTGTTCAAAAGGTGGGGGAGCCGTGATCCGAAATGCACAACTCTGTTTAGAAACGCTTCAAAACCCGAAAAAGTAATTGGAGTATATCTAGGATCAAATCTTCATGGTAGACGAAATGCTTCTAAAAAGTTGTCTGGTAAAAACTGAGGAGGGTTACGATCCCTGACTTATCGTAATAACAAATCATTTGCGAAATTCAAAACATCTTGGTCGTGAGACTTTTATCATCACTTTTAAAATCGAATTTAGCTGAAGTCTGTTGCATGTGATCATTTCAAGAGGAATATGATAGTAGTGAACAATTAGTTTTCTCAGGTTCGCCGCAATAAAGTTTGAGGCGCACTTCAAAACTGTTGCAAGAGGCTGATGCAAGTTATGTACTTCATTCGTGAAAAAGATATTGAATAATAACCTACCTATGGTTGTATAGATGGTGCCTGCATAGTAAAGCCCTCCCCATAGATCCCATCGCTTTTCTTTTTGTAGGACCGGCTTTATCGACATGCTCTCATCATATTTGTCGATGGCTTTGCGAAGTTCCGTCTCGTTGAAGAACTGCGCATTTGCTTCCGTGAAAATAATCTGAAAGATTTTAGCAGATCTAATGGTTTATACATTGAATTGTTGAATTGCGGCATTGTCTTCTGCGTTTCGACTTCTCGAGTTCCCGCCTTTAACATCTGCCAATCTATGCAAGAGCTCGTGAACTATGGGTCCTTATGAGAGGCCATAGTGGAGTTCGCAAATGGGCCTAGAACATGACCCACTTACTTTATCCTTCTGGTATCGTTCCCTTTCTATAATGAAGACAATTAGTAACCTCAAAGCTACTCCACGACAACCTACTCTGTTGTGGGTGTAGGTGTCGGGAGGCAAATCTTACCCTATCAAAAGCAGCGCTTAGATGATCGAGGGAAGCGCTTTGCTCTTCTTGGGCTAAATCTCATCACTTTCAATGAAGCAGAGCGGGTCGTCAGGATGCTACACAGGGTGTTGTCTGGCAAAAAATTGGGTTTGGTAAG